TCTTGCATTTGTTTTATTCTTCTCTTGACAAGTTTTGGTAGGAAAAATGCTACAGTAAAAATTGAATTCAGTCATAACTTTTTCAGTAATACCTAACGCAGAAGTAAACATTTAGAAATGTGACTCAGGCTGATGGGTGTTTCACAGCGTGCTGTTTGGATTCCCATCCATTCTCCTGTATTCAGTCATTCAAATTTTGTAAGAAACTGATGGCTATAGCAAGAATTCTTAGGATAGAAATTCAGTTTGTTCCCATCCTGCCCTGGGTAGTCTGTCTCAGACTTAATCATCTGAAGATGTGACCGATACATGAAACATGCTTGATGCAAGTGTTGAGGCTTGCTTTGTCTCTGATGTACATTGAATGGAAGCCATTGCAAAAGCAGAAAATAAAAATCCTTCTTAACTTTGTATTATTTGCTGGAGTTTTATTATATGCATATTTTGCTTGGCAGGTGTTCCAGAAGGATGGGCCCCTGGTGCATTTTGACACCTCAAACGAAGATGATTGCAACTGGATGATGATGGTGCGACCAGCCACCGAATATGAGCATCAAAACTTAACTGCCTTCCAGCATGACAATGATATTTACTTCACCACCTCCCGGGACATCCCACCAGGAACTGAGCTGCGAGTGTGGTATGCAGCTTTTTACGCCAAAAAAATGGAAAAGCCAGTGCTGAAGCAGGTCACTAGTATTGCCAATGGTATGTGTGGGGGCCTTTTTTCCTTCCTAAGGGCCCAGTCCTGATAGGGACTGATAGTGCCCTACTGTTGTAGTTGACAGTGCTGTTTATCAAATAGGCTCTGACCCTGAATTTGTTAGCCTTTAGAGTCAGGCTAACCTGGATACATGGTTGCCTGACAAGAAGAAAGCATAGATTCTTCACCATGATATATGAGTTTTTGAAAACGGATGGCCTAGTTGATGATTCAGCCTCTTCAGAGTGAACAACCTGGATAAATAGTTCTTAACTAAAGAACTGGTGGCTGCATCAAAAACATTTCTGGGTAGAAGAGCAAAGGAACTCAAGTGTCAGTGTGAATCTAAACGTATATGCAGATTTGCTAAGGAAGCCATTCTTTTTCAGGTGTAGTGAAAATGTTTTGGTTTTGCTCAGAATGTTATACAGTTCTAAAAAAACTACTTTTATCTTATGCAGCCTTACATGGGACCTACTAGAATAAGATAAGCTCAAGAGTGAACTGCCATTCCACATGATTGCTTGTGCATTGGCAAAGAAAGGCAGCAGGTTTTTTAGAATCTGAATTAGAATTGCCAGAAGCCTTTTGCTCCTCTGCCCCTTCATTTTCTTCTACTTTTGCATTTCTACAGCTAAAAGGTGTGATCCTTTAGCATTGCAAGGGTATTTTATTTCTGATCTTGAGTTGGGAGTACTCCCCAAATGGTATTACTGCTATGCTGAGTATAAGTTGCGGTGACGAATGGCTTGGGGAGAGGCCATTGCCATCAGCATGCTTTATGGCTGATCTTGATGGTAAGCACAGTCTTAAGTGCTACAGCTGAATCAATGCAGTTAACAGGTTTCTGAATTCTAAGATGTTTCCATTTGGTATTAACTGAGAGGTTTCATCTTTTTCCTCTTTAGTTTAACCTGTTCAAGTATTTTTGTGTGCATATAGGTATTTAAAAATATTGCTTAGGTACGTCCTCCTTTCTCTGTTCAGCCCTTTCAGTATACACTCCAGAATATGAGAGGCACGTGGTATGAGATTCAGGCATAAGAATGTCCTGGTTAGGATTTTACAATGAGAAAGTTTTTTGCAGGCCTGCTATAGGTGAAAGCTTTCTGACTATGGTTACTGCCCTCAGCACAGAGTAAGAGAATCAAAGGGTCTGGAAAGTAAAAAAAAAGGAACTGTTTTTCCTCTTCACAGATATGTGCTTGGTAGTGATGGAATCTGATAAAGAGGGGAATAAAATCTCTTCAAAACCTTTGTCTGCTGTCTTCCCCCATAAAAAGACGAAGAAATCCAGCCTACCAGCAGCTGATCCAGCAGGTATGCAAAATTACGGTAGGGAGACAGAGGACAGATATAGATCTAAAGAGCTGTTAGGTGTACCACTTCTATGTAGATGTTATGGTTATGTAACTTTTAGCAAATATTAATTTAGAGAGAATTTGAAAGTCTGGATTTTTCTTTTTGTTTTCATGGGCACGATGCTTAAAATACATATGCAGGTTAAAAAGTGACAGAGGGGCCAATAAACCTTTAGGGAGATGATTTTTCATGAAAACCACAACTGCTTCTGACTTTGGAGGTAGGTAGTGTTGGGGTGGGTGCAATTCCAAAGAAAATCTTTAGACTTCCTGTGCAAAGTGTAATAGTTCAAATGATCAGATTCTAGAAGAAAAGATGAGACTGTGAGTGAATGTAAGAACAGTGCTGTTTGGAAATGACAAGAACACTGGCCATCCCCAAATTACAGTAATACCAGAAGCCTATTAGCGTTCAGACTGTACTTGATTACAGGAACTCAAATTTAGATAAACTTATAAGCAATACAGATACTCTTGGCAAAGAACATATCGTTCAGGAAATAACTAGTGGTGTCATAGGAACTCAGTCCCCAAGGTTGATTATGAAGCAATGCCTCTCCACTCTGTAATCTCTGGTAAGTGGAACAATGACATTAAGAACCCACTTAACACAAATTGTCATGTCTGAAAGTAAACTCAGAGCACGTAGTGCGCAGCTCAGGATCAGCTCTGGGTCTGTTCTTTGAGAAGATGACTTTGCTAAATTTTGCCTACTAAAAGTAGCCAGAAGGAGGAGAGTTGTTGCAGATGTGTACAGAACAATTCGTTAGAAGATCCATTCATTTAACTTGGATACTGTCACAGCTAAAATGTGAAGTTGGGGAGCTGTCTTTCAGTTTGTCATCATTGGTTTTTCTGGGCGGAAAAAAAAACCTAAGAAGAATTTGAACAGCCCCTCCTACATCCTTCATCCTACTGTCTGAAAGTCCAACTTCAATAGAAACAAAATGCTGCCTATTATACTTTGGGAACCCTAAAGTGTTCCCACTGATGTAGTGTTCTGGTGTTTCCGAAACAAAATATACCTCTTTTGATTCTCACTATTTACCTCATCATACAAAACTGTTGCCAACTGACAGATCTATGCTTCCAAGTAAACTGGGTTGCCCTGCAGCCGCCCTGGAAGTTTGAAGAAGTGGGAACCTAAACAGGACCTGACTCTTCCTGGCAAACCAGTGCACAACTGGGGGTTCTAGGTTTACTGTCTGAGGCAGCTAAGGAGCAAGGGGAGTGCAGAGTCAAGGACAATTTTCCAAGACAGACTTCAGTTTTGCAGATAGTGCTTTTTCAGTTTTACTAACCTGCAAATTCATGAGACACATACAGTAGCTTACACGTTGCTTACCAATCTGACTCTTTTTTTTTTTTAAAGTTATGGAGAATCTTGGGGTTTAGGTTTGCTGGTTTTGGCCTTCCGGACAGAGCTCTTAAGATAAGAAGTTCTTTATGTAGCCTGTGAAGAAGGAATCTCTGTTGCTGAATTGTCTAGTCATTTTTTATTTATTTATTACAGCATGGATGAGATCACACCTCTGTAGTGCAGAACATTGAACATAATTTGTAGCAGGGAACAACCTCTGCCTCAGAGAATCTTTTGTTTTGGTTTAAGAGTCAACAGTGAAAAGGAGGAAGTAAGTTTATCGTCCCATTACAGATGGGGTCCTCAGGCAGAGGGGGGTTAACTGACTTGCTAATGATCATACAGGAAATCTGTGGCAGAAACTGAGGTACAGTGTGAATCTCCTGTGCTGCCATTCACTTAACCTAATTTCAGTGTCATCCTCCTCCTCTGGGGGAGTCTTGTAGACTGTGGAATATTCGTAGACTGTGGAATATTCAGCTTTGTGTGTACCAAAAAAATCTCTGAACCAGTCCAGATTTATCAGATCATCTTGACAAATTCAGACATATCATCCAAGAACTTAAAGACAATGGACTGTGAACAGAGTAACCGTTTTCCTCTCTTCTTTTTTTTCATTCCAGTTCCATTTTCCCCCTAGTTTCTTCCTTATTTTCTTTAACTGGAGTGAGCTGATATGTTAATTAAAACATTAATATGGTGGTTTCATAGAACATCTAAGTAATGAAACTGCTCAAAACCAGGTTTTCATTGTCCTCACCCTTACTTCCATTAATCCAAATGTTCTTACTCCGCAATGCTTTTCACAGAGAGCAAGGAGGCTTCTCCTGCTTCTGTCCTCAGCTGACCTGGAAGAGGACTGGTAACCCCGGTTTTAAAGGTGCTTAAAATTGCTCTATATTGTGCCTTTGATAATCACAGTTCTTTAGAAAGTGATAAAGGGACCCTCAAGACTTTACAAGAGCACTGATACTCTCTCACGGCATCATCTAGTTTCTGTTCTGACTTCTCATCTGTTCTGATGTTTCAAGTGTTCATGTTTGGAAAATCCTGAAGTGGTCCCAGCTGCCCCTGTGGGCCTCTTACTGCTTAAGTCGTAACTTGTGATACCCAGAGAGTTATTGCAAGGTGAACAAAGCTACAGGGATTTACCACCTTCCTATTTTCAAAGCTTTTCGGTACTTCTTCTTGTTGTGATTTAGTGAACACTCCAGAATGCAGTGGAGCTGCAGAAGCAGAGTCCAGCCAGTGGACATGTAAAGTGTGTTCATCTGCTTTCCAGGAGCCTCAGTTGCTGACAGGTAAGAAGTGCTAGAAATTCATGAGAGAATACTGAGAAGCATCAGGAGAATTCTGCTGTTCCAGAGCAGGACACTGTGAAGCCATACCCCGTCCACGATGCAGTAAGATAAAGGTTTTAATTTTTGTGTTCCCTTTAAGAAAAAGAATAGCAGGGAAGGTAAAACAGTGATATTTTTGATATGGCAGTGGTCAATCTCTGGGCAAACAACTGTGATGTTGAATCTAGAAGAAATAAAACTTGTCTAGAAGATGACATGTGAATGTTAGGAATATCAAGGATGGGGAACTGCATGAGCAGTGTATAAGGTCAGTGACACCAGCTTATACTTAGTGATATTGTCTGTCTGGTATTTACGGCACAGGTTTAATAAAGGTAATGAAACACATTTTTTTTTCCTGCGTTTCATTTGCAGCTATTTTATGCAGTTTTCAAAAGAACTTAGACCATTTGATGAATCATTTTTGAAAAGGGGACTTAGGCTGCTAAATAACTTGCGCATTTGGAAAAATGTACCCATTATCAGGGAGCATAGTGATATCTATCAAACTCTTAAAAAATTCAGTCCCTGTGAGTAATCATTTCAATGTTTAATAGTCTGTATGCTTTTATTTAGGAAGGTATTGTGACTACTTTTGAAATAATTTGAAGTGAGTCTCTGCTAAGTGAGGTTGACCCAATAGATAGGCTTCAGCTGGATCTATCCCTTTGAGTATTTCATGACAGTTTCTTTCCTTCTTACTCTCTTGTTCTTTCCCATCCACCCAGAGCACTTGCTGAGTCACCTGGAACAAGCTAAAGGTGCCCCCCAAAGCAGCCAAAATGAGGCTGTTGCAGAGAAAGCAGCAGAGGCTCGCCCTGTGGATCAGCCAGTGATTTGTGATGCAGCCAGTGCCAGTATAGACTCAAGGAGGAAGGCCAGGCGGGGAAGAAAGCCCAAAACAGCAAAAGCAGAAACACCTCTTGTCGTTGTTGAAGAGAAAGATTCTGCAGGTAAAACAAAACTTAAGAAAATGCTAAGCGCATACCCTCTCATACGTCTGTATTGATGCCTTCTCAGAAAGGCCTAAAAAGTAGCACAGAGACAAGATGGAGGTTTTTAGTTAGATCACTGACGCAGACTATTTACAAACTTTGTTAATTATCTCTGAGGTCCTTGTCTACGCTAAATGTTGCAGCACCTACACTTAGATTACCTCCATTCTCCTGTGATAGTTTTAGAAATAGAGAGGCACAGAGAAACAGTGCCTAGGGGTTATGAGAGACCTGCCTAGCTTTCTGCAAGAAGAAGCAGGAGAGAAAGCATCCTCCCTCTCAAGAGGAGGTACCTTCCTCTCTCTACCTAAGGTTTATTCTTGAAAGGGGCTTTTTTCAGGGCCTTACCTTTCTGTAAGGGAAGTTCTAGTAGGAAATTTCATGATGCATGAAACTGTCGCCTTAGTAATAGGTTGGAAAGGTAAGAAATTACTCCTCTGTAAGAGATGTTGGCAATGTCTTATTTGTCATTCAGTAGCCACTTTCTCTATCTTGCAAGTGCTACCTACTCATTAGCAATCCGTTATTTGTCATGGACAAATAATACATTCAGTGCCACATCTCATTACAAAAGCAAATTCCTGCATCTGAGGTTTTATTTCTAGCTATCCACATTAACACCGTATTTTTATGATGTGTTTGCAGCGGAACGCGTAGGTGACGTTGTAACTGAGGTCCCACCAGAAGAGGTAGCCCTGCCTTCAGCTGCAGAAGAGAGAATTATGGAATTGGTTTTAGGAAAGATGCCTAGCACCACAAATAGCATCAGTTCAGTGACAAAGTAAGTGCTTTGGGATGCAGAATTTCCTCTTAGACTTAATTAAGATTGTGTCGGAAGAGAAAGTACAAGTGAGAACGCTTATGGGTTGAGATAAGAACAGTTTAATAATTGAAATAAATAGAACAAGAAGAAGAATAAGTAATAAAAAGCCTACGGTACCTGGTATTCCGAGATGGTCTCCCATCCAAGTACTAACTGGGCTAACTGTGCCTGGTTAGTACTTGGGTAATGAAAAGGAAGATAACAAAAAGAGAGAGAAATAAAACCCAAGAAAGACAAGTGATGCAAATGAAAAACAATTGCTCACCACCAACGAACCAATGTCCAGTGGCCCCCCCGGCTAGCTTTCCCCTAGTTTATATACTGAGCATGACATCATACGGTGTGGAATATCCCGTTGGCCAGTTTGGGTCAGCTGTCCTGGCTGTGCCCCCTCCCACCTTCTTGTGTATCTCCAGCCTTCTCAGTCGGTAGAGCATGAGAAGCTGAAAAGGCCATGGCTCTGTGTAAGCACTGCTCAGCGATAATGAAAACATCTCTATGTTATCAACACGGTTTTCAGCACAAATCCAAAACACAGCCCCATACTAGCTACTATGAACAAAATTAACTCTATCCCGGCCAAAACCAGCACAGGCATGTAACAGCTCTGCTCAACTTCTGGGCTCACAGATGCTCTTTTTTATTAGCGTAAAATTGTGTGATGCTGCTGTTGCTGCAAGAGCTGACTTTGAGTGCCACAAAGATGGCTTGTGCACTGGAGGATGGTGCACAGATGGTGAGATATTGGTGGTAGAATTTCGGCACATAAACCGTGAGAATTTGATTTTCCATCATGTTACTGCTTTTATTTAGTGTGATTCCAAAAGCCTCCTGCAGCTGCAAGGTGAAATATTGCTCCCATTGAATGTTGATCATAAAACAGGCAAAGAGATTTTTGCTAAAAAAATTATGCTAACCATTATTATTCAGTCTTGCTTGTCATCTTAACTCATGAATGACTTCACGTTGATTTGTGCATGTAATACTTCAGATTTAGAGCAGTGGGAGGGTAAAACTTCAGTATAACAGAACCTCAGGGAGACTCTTAAATATCATTTGATTAATTTAGATTCTTTTATGTCTTTTTGTCTCAGTAAAACTGGCTTTTAAAATTATTTTTGTATATTAAAGCACTTGATTTTTCAAAATTAGCTATTAAAGCTATATATTGAAGTTCTTAGCAGACACAGAGCCATCAAAAATGCATTCCAGCGGGTGGTTGTGCTGGGAAATAGAACAGTACTGCCTCTTGGCGCCCTGCCGCCCTCTTATCATATACACCTTTTGCATGTGAACTGCCAAGCTTTCTAAGCTGAAATAGTGCTAATGTTTCCAGAGGATAAGCAGAACAAATCCTTTATGTTCCTCTGAGGGGCCTGCAAAGAGAATCTCTGAGGCTGGTGGCTGCTGCTTTTTTCCTCGTTTGTGCTGGGTGAAGATAATTTGGAGTGAGCTGCGCTCTGACATCTGCTGCTTCCAGGGGGTGGCCAGGAGGGGGCCTTGGCAATGAGGAAGCTCCAGGCCCCCCTCTCCTGCCAAAAGCTGAGCATAACACTCCTCTAGCTTTTGCGAGCTGGTGGGACTCTTTCTTGCAACCTGTGGGATACCTTTCAGTCCCTGCCTTTCTTTCTCTAATCCAGTAGGTTTGCTCATCACCAAAACACCATGTCCCTCAAAAGAAGTTTAATTCTCTCCAGTAGACATGGTATACGGCGGAAGCTGATAAAACAACTTGGGGAGCACAAGCGAGTCTATCAATGCAGTATCTGCAGTAAGATCTTCCAGAACAGCAGCAACCTCAGCAGGCACATCCGTTCTCACGGTGGGTTTGATTTTGCCTCACTTGCATATTGATTTTGTTTCTCGGTGTTCCACCTTTGAATAAAAGAGCTAGGCTATTCTTAGGTATTGGGACACATAATTTTAATAGAACTCTTTTTTTCTTTTTTTCTTTTTTTTTTTAATTCTTTCTAGGGAACTCTTTTAGTTTTGCAGACCAAAGCATGAGAAGATAATAGTTGAAAGTTGAAATTAGAGTACTTAAAATTTGAATTTAGGTACATATTTTAAACGCGGGCAAGGATGTGATGGTTTTTCCAAAACTGTTCTTCCCTTTAAGTATATTCATATATATTGGCCTCCCCACCTTCACAGGCACATGGGTAACATTGCTGTGTAAATGTCAGCTGAGTGTTTTTTAGCTTGTGATCTGCAGTTCCAGGGGTCCATGACCTAATTCTAAGGATTCTGTGAAAAATAATCACTGAAAAAGGGTGGGGGAACCAAACAAAATTGTTGTCAAAATTGTTGGAAAAGGTTAAAATCCACTATTTGGATCTCCTGAATTACTAAAGCTTCTCATCACTAGCCTGTTTGTTTGCAGTTGCTTGTGCTTTGGTTTCCCGTGTCTTGCCTGGAGTTGATTATTATCAGTCGCTGACTACTTTCTTCTTTTTATTTTATGTTGATTGATCCCCTCAGGTGACAAACTATTTAAATGTGAGGAATGCGCAAAGCTGTTCAGCCGTAAAGAGAGCTTGAAGCAGCATGTTTCATACAAGCACAGCAGGAACGAAGTGAGTGGAAATGACTAGCGGGCTCTTTCTGAGGTTAGGTGAAAATGTACAGGGAGCTTCCAGGTGCTAGCTGGGGAGCTTGGGTCAATTATATTTGAGCGGATATCCATGTGAATAAGTAAGACGAGACTGACAGGGAGAGGTAACATCTTCTGTTAGAACAGTTGATGAATTGGCAATGTGTGGACACGTTTTTGAGCGTACAAATCCTTTTTCGTGTCTGAATTTCCTATAGAAAGTTGTTTTCAGGCATCAATTACAGCAAGACAAGCTGCAGTTAGCTGGACCTGCATGATCTAGAGGTGAGATCTGACTTCAGTTTGTGGTACTAAATAGGATTGTTCCAGTCTTGTTTGCTTGTCCTGTTTCATTTATCTGCATCTATAGTGTCATTTAACGTGTGAACTGTCTGGGTAAAGGCTGTGTCATTAAGGGCTATGCGCACATGTGTAAACCTACAGTGCTTACAGTAGCAGCACCATGCCTGTTGGTGAGGGCCTTTCAGTGCTGCTGCTATATAAATATTAAACATGCCTGTAGTGGGGCCTCATCAGTGAATATTTCCTTTGATGCTTGGCATCAAGGTCCTAAGCTCTCAGATTGCGGGCATCGGTTCTGGAGCTGGAGGATGAGTCAGATTACATCTTGCTTCTCAAAAATTCTGTCTCTGTGTTGGACCAGGGGTTATCAGGTAGACTGTTAAGTGCACACAGGTGCATGGTCTACTCTTTTTTTTTTTTTTTTTTGTATAGAGCTCAGATGTAGGAACATGGCAGGATGATACAGTGTCAGAATTTTGCATCAATGTGTATTTAAATGTCCTGTTGAAGGAAGAAAAATTGGAAAAGACAGAAAACAGAAAAAGTAGTTGAGATTTAGAATTTCTCTGTCAGCCGTGACTTGGCTATTTCCCCACTTAAACACTTACTGTTTGCAATCCTCAGGTTGACAGTGAGTACAGATACAAGTGCACCACGTGTGAAAAGGCCTTTCGGATAGAGAGTGCATTGGAATTCCATAACTGCAGGACAGGTGAGAATGGCTAACCGTTCCGCTTCCCCTGGCGTCTCAACTCCATTTTGGGGGGATGTCCACAAATCCATCTCAGCATAGAAACTACAGAAGGGGAGTAGAAATTTAGATTTTTGTCATTATCACAACAAGCAACCTGCCCCGCTTCCCTCAAAAAAAACTCTTTTTGTGATAAGAAAAGTGTAACCAGTAACCTGTAGAGCAACACATCCACTTATTTATTGCTTTTTTTAGTATCTCCTGCTCACCTAATATCCTCATTGGTATTTCCTTTGTATGTTCACAGATACCCTTGCACCATCTCTGTTTAATTTTCTTTCCTGAAACTAAGTTTGACCTCGTTTCTCTGAAACAGAGGAACTGGAAGGGGGGCCAGTACTATTGATAGTTTGTAGTTTTCTGGGATTACAGTTTTCTTCTGCTTTCTCATGCTTGCTTTATACTTGCAGTAGTCTCTCTAGATGTTTTTTTCATAGTATCACTAGAACCTGCCCTTTGCTCCCATAGCCATCCCTTGTGGTTACTCATATTATTTATGCTGAGTGACCTTATGCTTAGAAAATGACATCCTGGTTACTTTTATGGACCCATGATAACTGTCAGTCCAGAATCACCTGGGTAATTGCTCCTTACAGCACTATTCAAAGTAGGTTTTGTCATTTCCTTTCAGAGGGTACAGCTTTTAAAAAAAACTCAGCCTTATGAAGAATGGAAAGTGATGCCAAGTAACCTCAGTATTCTCTTTATTCAAGGGCAGCATCTCACTTTCTCTCTGAGTTGACCAAAACGAGCAGCAATTTTTGCTCTACTCTTCAAGGCATCAAACTGTTACTTCTTTGTGATTGCTACAGCACTGGCAGATTCCATCTACAGGACCGTGCTTTCATGTTCCAAGAAAAGTCTCAACTACTGAATCAAAACAAATCCCCCATAGGCCTATTGTCATGTAATGGTATATTTTTGAGATTTTTTACTTTCTTCTGGACTGTTCTGGACTGGCTGGTATTAGGAGCCAATGCTGACAGAAGTCTGGTGCTTAGATGCAGCTGTTCGTGTGATGCTGTGTTGCTGCATGTGTAGTGATTTTACCAACATTAAAAACTTGAATCAACTGTAACTGTAACAGAATCCATTCCAAACATAATTTTGATGTATGCTAGACCACAATGGAAATAGCCCATGTGAGGAAGTTACAATGCTAGATTCCATGTTCAAGTTAGCGTCATATATATTTATTGCCTTTGAAAAAAAATGTAAAGTGAAAGAAAAACACATGCTTTTGCATTTCCCTCCTCAATCCATATAATGATGGATTATATGTTAAAACTCAGATTTAACAAAAGAGCTACCTACGTCACAAACATACAAAACCTGTTTTCATCTGTAAAGAGCTGCATGGTTTCTCTTGCTTACAGATGACAAGACATTCCAGTGTGAGATGTGTTTCAGATTCTTTTCTACAAACAGTAATCTTTCAAAACACAAGAAAAAGCATGGGGATAAGAAGTTTGCATGTGAAATCTGCAATAAGATGTTCTACCGGAAGGATGTCATGTTAGACCATCAAAGACGACACTTGGAAGGTAAGTATATTGCAGATCAACGTAATTATTACTCTTGAAACGGTAGTAGAGGTGGGAAGGTTAAGGAAATGATTGTGCATTAGATTCTTCTGGATGGTAGATGTCATTTTTTTTGTCAGTTACCTGATCTGGAGTAGCAGGTTTCAGCAAAATGTGGCATTTATTAAAAATAACAGTAACGGATCCTGGAGGGGAGTTGTCTAATTCTATGAAAAACTTTCTAGGAGATGTGCCTACCTTTTTTTTCAGCCTCACGTGATTGGATCCAGTGCTACTAACAGTCATGTGAAAGTTGCTTGGCTTATTATGCAGTAGTTTAGACTAGCTGATTTTAATTATATCTTTTTCTTTCTTTGAATTCTGTTCTTTCTTTTTTAAAAGAAATGCGTGGTAACTTGAAAGGCAGAGAATTGACTTGCAATGTACAACTGAAAGTGACTTCTGTATAAATATAGTATAAATGGAATGCTGTGTGATGTTATCTTTCAAAATCTTGAGAATATATGAACATGAGATTATAAGAGTTTACTGTTCAAAATCTCAAACATCTGTTAGAGGTACTCAAAGACTCTGGCAAAACTTGGGTGATGGTAGATTGACGAAGTATGTATTAAAATGCCTCTAGTGATCTAGATGATAAAAACCAAAGGTGATTTAAAAAAAGCAGCCAGATTGTCTAATTTGATGCTTTGGGCGTAGCCAATCACCACTGGCTGCTCTTGTGATTCAGACTTTTGTGTCATGAACTAGAGGACAAGGGGTTGAATGGCAGTGGCAAGGCGTCTCATGTTCAGCGGGCACAGAACAGCAGCAGCCCTCTTCCCTCCTGAAAGCAGCAGAGAAAGAGGTCTGAACTCATTGAGCATTAAAGATGATGCTGGATGGTTGCCTCTCTCCTTAGAGACTGCGAGGGGGACTTTCTGGGCCAGATATCTGATCGAAGTGCCAAGACCTACTAGATCTGCCTGTTTCCAGGTGTTGACAATAAATGTCTGTTTTCAGACACTTTACAATTGGTGTAATAACCAATAAGCCATAATACCTCACTTTGGCAGACTGCTTTTATATCCTTAAGACACTGTTTTAATTTAGAAATTATCCTTTTGTTAGCAATTAAATTCTGCATTGAGGCTCTTCCCAGTGTTTCACTCTTCTTTACAGTATTCACCTGAAAGGGCATGCAGATTGGAGTGGAAAACCATGGTTTATTTTTTTTGTTTTGTTTTTTTGATGGGGGCTGTTCTGTTAAGGGGTGAGGCGTGTGAAAAGAGAAGACTTTGAGCACAGCACGGAAAACATGGTTCGCTACAAGAAGGAGCCTTCAGGATGCCCCGTGTGCGGGAAGGTAAGTGGCTTTGCCAGCGTGTGCCGTGTGAAGCTCTGCGTTGTAGCTCCGAGGATACTGCAGGGGTACGGTGCGCCTCAACCCAGCACCTCCAAACGAGTTACCGTGGCGTAACAAGTTACCACCTGTGATTTAAACCACAACAGCAGCCTAACTGAATAGGCAGACAGCCTGCCGAAAGGTTGAGGGTAAATGACTTGCAGTGAGGTAAGTGCAAAGTCGGATTACCTCGCAACTCGGACAGGCACATGGTTAGTTACCAGCGAGCCCTGTCGCCCAGCCAAGACGTTACTCTTTAAACTGCCTTAGCCCCATTATACATCCAAGCCCACTGTGGCCATGGATGGTGGGAGCTGTTAGGACAAAGATAAGAACAAAACTGAAGTTCAGACTAGACTTTTTTCCAGGACATGTAGCACAATGTAGAGTGTAACATGGCCACTGTGTCTGTCAGTGAAATCTTACGGCTTATGTTATTTAGAATGAAATTTCTCTGCCGGAATGTAAACATCTGGAGTTGACTGTGTGCATTGGGAATCATTTTCTATTAGAAATCAAAGTGAATTCACAGTGTAGTGATGGCACTGTTGCATTTGGGTATGTAATGCTTGTGATCTTAAGTTGCTGTTAACACAGGTACAAAGACTGTGGGTTTAACTAGTGATTTTATAAATGTTTAATGATTCATGGTGCAAGATGTACTCAAGCAACTCTTAAGTTGGTGTGTAGACCTTTGTTTTTGATGCTTTGGATGTGTTACATATCAATGAAGGTAGATTTTGTGGATGTGTCTTTTTGTAGATAGGTGGAACATTCATGATTCAAAAGACTGTCTAAATATTTTTAAATCTACCCTATGTAATTCTGCTGCAGCTTTTTTGGAAGTCCACCTCTGATGAACAGCCAATTTCAGTCAGTTACTTGGAACTGTACACCTGTATTTTGCTGTGCCAGCAGTTTCTGAGGTAGCCTGCTGGCTAGATAATAGGAGTTCCTACATGTTTCTGGCTAGAATGAATAGAATGGGACAGTAAATATGTTCTGTACTATCCATTGGATAACTTGCAAAGAACTGTAGCCCTGCTGGACATGATACAAAAACCCTTCCTTCCTTCTTCTTTTCTTTTAGGTATTTTCATGTAGGAGCAATATGAACAAACACCTTTTAACACATGGAGACAAGAAATACACTTGTGAAATCTGTGGACGTAAATTTTTCAGGGTGGATGTGTTGAGAGATCATATTCATGTCCATTTTAAGGTATTGTGTTAATAATTTATTAGAAAAGGCATGTTACTTAGCAGATACATAAACATATCAATAAATATATTGAGACTGTTACGGCCACATGTTCATACTGGCAATACAACAGTGATTATGTACCCTGTGCACTGATGTTTCTGCAGCCTACCATGAGTTGTGCTCTGATTTACCCATGGCTCTGTTTCTACATCTGGGTTGCTACAGAGTATGTGGACTATCATATCTGAAGTTATTTCAGCTACCACTGCAGAACGCTGTTCTGAATGCTGTTGAAAAACCACCTCTGTGACCTTGGGTGAATCACAGAGGTTGCTCAGTTTAAAGCGGGGAGAATAACTTAACAGGAACGCTGCAGACAGATGTATTGTTCCAGTTGTAGTTTGGTTGGGCTGAGGGGTTACTGTCATCCCCTCTCTTTGTGGGGAAAAAACAAACAAGAGAACTAATTGTTCCTGCCCTTTCCCTGCCAGTGATTGTGATTCTCTTGTATATGCCAGCATAACTGCCTGTGTATTGAGTTCCTTACCTGGTTTTATCAAAATGTTCCGAATCACAAAAAAACCCTTATTAATAGTGCTTAAGCAGACCCAGATTATTTTGACGTAACTAGGTTAACACTGAATTGTAAGGAATTGAATTGAAAGGGAATTGTATCACTCAGTGGTGCTCATAAAGATGCTTTTATGGATGTAATACTGTACCAGTTGAGTCTCTGTTTACATTAAAGTTCCTTTTATGCACAAAAAATTGAGTATTATTTGTTTGGATAAACAGTTGTTCCTTGTTTAGTCATGGACAGAGGAACTTTGTTTATCTGAATTAAATGAAGCAGGAGAATATTTTAAATAAATAATGTTACAGCAATTGTTAATGCAAGGCAGTCTGCATGGCAACAAAAGCTGACTAGGTGTTACCTTTTGAAATAGAAGTTTAATCTATTAAAACAGAATATTCTTTCCCACCCTACACAGGACATAGCACTAATGGATGATCACCAGAGAGAAGAGTTCATTGGTAAAATTGGAATCTCATCGGAGGAAAACGATGACAACTCTGATGGAAGTGCAGATTCTGAGCCTCACAAGTATAGCTGCAAAAGGTGCCAGGTAGCTTTAAATACTTTCAAATTAACTTGTTTTGGGATGGGGGGAGGGAATGGAGATGTCTATATATCATTCAGAATTTTAAATAACATTAAGGGTTTGCAAAGAGAAGGCCAGTCCACAGGTCTGCTCTCTTCTGCAATGCTTGTTACCTCTAATCTATGAAGTGATGCTATTCCATAAGAATTTAGGTGGTGTTGTTCAAGGTGCATGCTAAATGCTTAAAAAGAGAAATACACATACATACGCTTACCTGTGTGCAAGGAAGCAAGCAAGCAAAACTGAAGAAGAAACAATAAAGGAACATTCAAATCTTATACCACCTTTTAATTATCTGCAAATTAAAATCGTTACAGCATTTCTGAATGATATGGTCCACAAATTGATTAATTTTGATAAGATCAGATGGTTCTCTAGTGGATATCCAGTTTGGAGGATTAAGACTGCTGCTTATGTTCAGTGTGACTGCTGCTTCTTGGCCTACTCTATTACTAACAGGATGGCATTAGAAGTACTGCTGGAACACACTTTACTCAGTTGTCATCTGAGAGAGGAAGACTTTTTAAACCTCTTACAGCATGGCTTTTGCCATTTTGTAAAGAAGTAATGGGGTCTTTAAGGCCTTTTTGGATTCTGTGCCCTTACTGGGCGAGCATGCTGTGCTGGGCTGGGTGGGATGCAAAAGCAATCAGTGAGAACAGCAAAACTGGCCAAACTGACATAGGGACAGGGGAATTTTGGTAGTCAAGCCAGTGACTTGGCCCCTGGAAATCAGAGCTTATTTTACAGTCTACGCTTAATGTGGTGAAAGTGCTTAGCTTATCTTCATTTTAAAGACATGGAGATAATAATACTTTAGTTTTCTGTTCTTATCTGTGAACTGGTTTTAAGTGCAAACTGATTTTAAGCTTATGTCAGTAAGCATAAGAAGATGTGGTATCACAGCAGTTAATCATGTGCTTGCTTTCAATGTGGTAATTTTAACGCCTGACACTTCATGGGTACATAAACTATATAAAATTGTATGCTTCCAAATGAGGGCAACTGTGCCATTCAAATTAGAAAGGGCTTTTTGGAAGCTGGGCTTTTTAGCACTTTTGCGGGTATTTGTGAAGTAAACGGTTGTGTAAGGCAACAGCTGTGGAAAATGAGTGTTATCTGCGATGCGGTGGGGAGGCTCTTTTTGGCTGAAAATATCTGTTCACGCACTCCTACGAGTGAGTCTTGGTGAAAAACCTCTTCTGAGCTCTTAAGAATCTCTCTCTTGTTTTTTTTCTCATCCCAAAGTATACCTTTACCAAGCTGTGCAGTGCTGTCAGAAATACTGTGACTAGTTCCAAAATTGGAGCAAAAGATCATGTCATTATGGCACTTTGCCCTGGTATGTTGGAGCATATATGCATATGCAGGGTTACTTAGCCCAGGGGAGCTAAGTAGTGGAGCACCTGTCTATCGTAGTTGTAGCACTTCCAGGAGCTGAGCTAGAATCACTGCCCTGCAATGCCTAGAAATACCAACTCTGCTGGAGCTAGTGCCAAAGCTTACTATGCAGACTAGAGCTTACCATGCCCCTAGAGCTCAAAAGACATTTTTTCCATCTGTGGTGTTCTTGCTTTGACAGCTAGTGGAGGTTAGACGTGGCTCTCTTCAAGGCTGTTCCTCAATGCACAAAGAGGTCCTCTACTTGGGCAGTGTAAGAAGCAGCGATACCATCTCAATCTAGTTTTCCAAATGAGTTAACTGATGTTCTGTAGCAATGTGCTTGTAATGGCCAAAGAGGTTCAGGCCTAACTCCAGCTTTCACAGATTTTTCATCTAGTGATACACAGGGTATTTATGTCTACTAGCTCTGACTCTAGATCCTGGTAACGTGTTACTAGATCATTGCTGTTCCCGAGGACTTTTTTCCCCTTTCATTCACTATTGGTTCATTCCACAGTTGACTTTCGGCAGAGGGAAGGAGTACCTGAAGCATATAATGGATGTGCACAAGGAGAAGGGCTATGGCTGTAGCATTTGTAACCGACGTTTTGCCTTGAAGGCAACTTACCATGCACACATGGTCATTCATCGGGAGAACCTGCCTGATCCTAACGTGCAGAAGTAAGATGACATGTTGGACTGATAAGAGGAGCTATCTTTTTGAAGTTACAGTGGCTCTGCCACCTGATGCTTTTAGAGAGTTGGGCTGTACTAAAATATCTGAAACTGTATAATGGGTGTTAAAATGTTTATTAAAAGCTTGAAATATATATCACTAATGATTCATTTCACACAGATGATTAGTCAACAGCCTCCCAGTTTGGGCTTTGTAAAGTATAAATCTATGATTTTGGTAAATATTTTTTAAAAATTGGAGGATATCGCAATGCCAGACTGCTCCAAGCTTGCAGTGAAATTATGGGTTTCTTAAGGCTTATTTTAAAAATGCATTTATGTTTCAAGGAGCTTTTATGGTAACTAGTATTACCAAATGAAATACAGTTACTGACAGAGATGCCTGAAAACCACCTCTGTCTCAAGAAAAGAATCACAATTTTTGGTCTCTCTGGTTTCAGATACATCCACCCATGTGAAATCTGTGGAAGGATTTTTAACAGTATAGGAAATCTGGAAAGACATAAGCTTATACATACAGGTAAAAATGTTGTGTTTCTTAATTATTATCAATATTAAAAAGAAGTTTCTGTTGCCAGTGCCTGCCTTATTTTTTTCAGGAGGAAATAAGTTAGGCTTTTTGACTCTAAGTTACAATAAGATAAATGTTATATTTATGCTTTCAGGGTAGGCTGGTTTTCTAAAGCAGGTAGTATTAATGAAGGTATTTTGTCTAGGCACACAATCCAGATTCCTAGTTAATATGATGCAGGATTCACCTGTTGAAAATCCTAATTCTGTATTCTGTTCTTCCCCAAATTCTTATCCATGCCACCTTCTCACCATTACACAGGCTGCAAACTGCTATTGCAAAATCATTTTTAACAGCTCATTATTATTTCATGCTATTCAGTATTTTCCTACCTCAGACTTTATCTTTTTTTTCAGATCTCACACAAAAAGCTAGCTTTTCTCTCTCTCCAAAGTCTTCTAATTTAGTTTGGGCTACAATATGCATGAAATATGCGGTTGACAACACAGGTGGACTGTTGCCCTCTAATTCACCAGTTTAGTCAGTTTTTAGGAGATGCACATTTTTCATTAACATTTTTTTTTATTTATATTGTCTTTTAAATTTATTTTTAAGGTGTAAAAAGTCATGCTTGTGAGCAATGTGGCAAATCATTTGCTAGAAAAGACATGTTAAAAGAACATATGCGGGTCCATGATAATATCCGAGAATACTTGTGTGCAGAATGTGGCAAAGGTATGTCTAATGCCTTGTTTTCCATTAATTGTGATACTGAATAGCAGGTGAATATCTGAATTAAAACTACTTCCATTCTTAGAATATTGGGAAGGTCCTCGGAGTGCTGTAAATCCTGCATTTTTGAGAGGTAGAAACTGTATTAATCAGGAGTCTTATGGTTACATAAACTACCCCTAATTTTATACCATTTAGTTTCATGGCCTGAGAGACAAAACTGATTTTAATAAAATTTGCTTCTGTCAGATTAAGGAGTGCTTGCCTGACTGAGTTCCAATGCATTTGCAGCACAAAAGTGAATACAAGTTAATTTTTTCATTCTAGGCTGTATTCAGGCTTAAGAAATTAGTAGTTTCTTTCTGTAAGAGCCTTAAGAGTCAAAGTTGCTTTGACTTTTTGAATTGTTCACGTTGTAACTTGAACAAATCTGAACTTGTATTTTAGTGGAAGGCAGTAAGTCTGACATCTCTAACGATGTTTTGTCTTTGCTTGTCCCTACTGTTTTGCTTCTTCCTCAGTGGTTACTCAGATGTTTTCCAGAGCTTTTTCCTGGAATTAAAATAATAATGATAATGTGCACTGCTACCTAAACAATTAAAAATACGTAATTGTGGGCACGCAGCAAATATAATCTTAGAGCTCTTGGCTAACAACATGATCATCCTGAGTTCTCCTCTGAAGGTGGGAGCAATGGACTAATTGTCATGCTGTACCTTTTGTCTCACAGGAATGAAGACAAAACATGCACTTCGTCACCACATGAAACTTCACAAAGGGATTAAAGAATATGAATGCAAGGAATGTCACCGAAAATTTGCACAAAAAGTCAACATGCTGAAGCATTACAAAAGACACACGGGTGAGATCTCTAAAAGATGTACAAAGTTGCACTGAATCGGTTAAATGCTTCCCGAGGCAACTCTTATCTAGAACAGCCAGAGAGTATAAGGAGCACTAATAAAAAAAAATGCATATTCTGCTTTTTGAAAAGTGAGATTTTGTCCTCTCGTCAGCCAAGACCACCTGTTACACAATTAGATACATAGTTTAGTTGGTTTCATGTTTTGCTTTTTTAAGAGAGGTTGTTTTGGTCTAGGGTAGGTCTAGAGTGTTGGTTTTGTTTTAAGTTAGTCTTCAGGCTCTCATTTCCCAAAACAAAATTTTACCTCCCACATCAATTTCTCTTGGATTCATTTTCAGCCAGATATAGTGGCATGGCTTAGATAAAAATAGTTGGTGAAGCTGGGCTGCTTCTGCTTGTTTGGCTGTGATTTATTTATTTATTTATTTATTAGTAATATGAAACTCGGAATTGTTCCAGATACCTTAGACTGTTTTCACTCTGATGCTAAATGTGCTCTTCATGCAGGAATCAAAGATTTCATGTGTGAGCTATGTGGCAAGACGTTTAGTGAAAGAAACACAATGGAGACTCATAAGTTGATTCATACAGGTAAATCCTTTAAAAAACAGTATCCAAAGACAATATCTTAATTTTGTTCCTAGGCTTGCTTTAGACTTGCCTGTCTTGGAACTAGTGTTACACATCACGTTACCGAAATAAAATTGTTCCTCTTGTTGAGATGCTGACAATACGGTACTCATCTTTGGGGGCTGTTGCTAACAGCGTTTCCTTCCATCTGCTACCAGTAGGAAAACAGTGGACATGTTCGGTCTGTGATAAGAAATATGTCACTGATTACATGCTACAGAAGCACATCCAGCTCACTCATGATAAGGTAGAAGCCCAGAGCTGTCAGCTGTGTGGGACAAAGGTTTCTACCAGAGCTTCCATGAGTAGACATATGAGGCGTAAACATCCAGAGGTGAGTTAGTTTGGCACGTAAATTGTGGGGTGGCTTGTTTTTTGTTTTTTTGGGGGGTTGTTTTGCTTTTTTTTTTGGTAAAGAAAGTTTATGGCCTTCAGTGACTTGAAAGGAATTACTTCTTTTTTTCTCTCTCTCTTTTTTCTGTTCTTTTGGGGTCAATTTTAGGTGGTGTCTGTTAAGCATGCACTTAACTGAATCAGCCCTTTCATTATGTTATGTTTCAGTAGTAAACATATCTGATTGTCAGTTCCTAAAAATGAAGTTCTTCTGATTATTTAAATCCCTTTTCGTTTTCTGCCTCAGCTTAAATGTATATTTTTTTCATGTTTTGTCTTCATCCATTAGTGAATATAATTGATTCCCCCATTGTGTTCTCTGTATTCAGAAGTGATCTGAAAGAAGTGGTGAATAGAGAGGTGATGGCAGCATCTGCTGATGATACAAAATTATTCTTAGTAGTAAAGATGAATGCTGACTGCAGAGAATCTGAATTAGAGGGATGTTTTGTCTGACCCCAATGGGGCTTTTTCTGTGTTCAAAATTTCTGAATAGCTATTGTGTTTCTCCTCAGCATTTCTTGTTTAGGTTGACTAAGGCTTGTCCATTCCCTTTGAGGCTTTTTTTTTTTTAAAAAAAATACCAATTTATCATTAGCATTGCTTTGTGTGAACATGTTTTTTTATCATGATGACAGGGAAGGAAGTCAACAAAAAGCTTTGTTTATTGATTTTTGGATTAAAAATGCAGCTACGTATCTGCAATCCAGAGGTTTGTCTCTGTTCTTTGATAAGCCGAGATGTATAGATTCAGCTGAAAATAATAGAGTAGGACATAGTTGATAGGTTAATAAATAGAAATGCTAAAACAATAATTTTTTTTTCAAACACGTTGTTTGTTTTCTATAGAATTCATCACTTCCCAGTGCGTTGTGTTCTGTCTAGAATATGAAAATAAACATATTCTTATATTGTTGTCTTTAAACTTTGCTGGTTGTCAGTGAGAAGGAAAAGATTATATGCTAAAAGGTTACTTAAAAAAGAGCCATGGTTAAATCCCTTGTATTAAATGATACGTGTAAAATGGTACATTACATCATTTTTGCTTTGTGACAGGATTTATTAGGGCAATGCTGTATTGTTTGACTGTGGTGTGCACTGCTGCAGTTCACCAGCTGATATCTCTTTGTCTACAGATTCTTTCGGTGAGGATTGATGATTTAGAGCAGCTGCCAGAGACGACTACTATTGATGCCTCCTCGATTGGGATTGTTCAGGTAAATTTGTCATTGCAGAATTCTGGTGGCAGTTAGGTTCCAGGCCTGCTGGAAGGTGGGGTGGGGCATAGGCTGATGTTTGGCATAGGCTGATGGGCAAGGAATGTGCTTTTTTAGAGAGTCAGCCTCAGCTTAACATGTATAAGCAGACGCAAGCTGTTGATCTGGTTTTTTTGTATAACGTGGGTGCTGGTAAAACGGAGGTAATTACAGGATGAGGTCTCATTCCCTGATAATTAGGTTTTTGCTAAAGTTTGTTTCTTCACTTGAGAATTGACAGTAAACCAACTTCAGGTGATAGTCTCTTACTTGGAACTTCACTAAGCAAAATGACTTGATGTTTTGTTTGGAAATTTATTGCTCCAGCCGGAATTAGCTTTGGAACAGGGAGAATTACCAGAAGGGAAGCAGCATATGAAAGCTCCTAAACGTGGCCAGAAACGAAAACAAAAGTCAGGTGAGGAGGAGGAAGCTCAAGTGCCTGAGGACCCTGCCTTCAGTGAATACACAGAGAAGGAAGGTGAATTCACAGGGAATGTTGGAGATGAGACTAATTCAGCTGTGCAGAGCATCCAGCAGGTGAGCTCCAGTAGCAGGGTGATGGGTAGCAGGCGTTGCTTAGAGGGATAACCCTTCTTCTTTCCTAATAGCAAACACAACAGAGTGACTGGAACATTTAGAGCTAGTTTGATAAATTGTGGTAATACGAAGATGAATAGAGACTTCAAAAAAACAAGGAGTTGGACCAGTAAGCTCCTCAAGTTTGTTTTCATTTCCTTTGGTGTTACCATCTCCTTGTTTGCCAGATACCACTAACTGGCTGAAGCTGTGACTAAAAGTGTGAAAGTTAGTACGGCTGCTTGTTCTGAATGTTGCATATGCCTCCCTCCCATTACCTTCTTATTTCTATGTGTGGAAGTTGTTAAATGCAAGCTTTCTATGTTCCCCTCTGTGTGTATGACTTCTCTTGCTGGCAGTAGCAACATGTGATTGCATCAGCACTCAGGTCATCTTTCGTGATGCTTGATATTTGGTAGTCATCTGCAAGATACAAGGTTGAGGTTACCTTTCTGTTTTTCCTCAGGTGGTAGTGACCCTTGGCGACCCAAATGTCACAGCCCCTTCCAGTTCTGTCGGGCTGACAAATATCACTGTTACCCCCATTACGACGGCAGCTGGAACCCAATTCACAAACCTCCAGCCAGTGGCTGTGGGCCATCTGACTGCACCTGAACGCCAGTTACAGCTGGACAACTCAATTCTCACCGTGACGTTTGACACCGTCAGTGGTTCCGCCATGCTGCACAACCGCCAAAATGACATTCAGATCCAGCCGCAGCCAGAGGCAGCCAATCCTCAGTCTGTGGCCCATTTTATAAACCTGACCACCTTGGTGAACTCCATTGCTCCTCTAGGGAACCAGATAACGGAACAGCATCCTCTAACATGGAGGTCAGTGCCTCAGACTGATGTCTTGCAGCCCCAGGCACAGCCAACGCAACAGCAGTCAGGACAGCAACAGGTTCAAACAGAGCAACAACAACAGATGTATAGCTACTAATTTATACTTTGAAAAGTTTTGAAATGGACAGTACTTAGAGACAAAAACACACAGACGTTTGGAAAATTTCTAATAGGATTGTTTGCTGGATACCAAACAGAGATGGGGAAATGTTTATACAATGAAATGTAAGCTAAAATTGGCATAGCACCCTGCAACACCCTAATCCTGAGATTCTCATGCTGTCTCTAGACCTTGCACTGTCTTGAAAAAAAGAAAAAGGAAAAAAAATCTCACCATAAATTTAGCACCCCACTGCACTGTGTATTTTGTGCAGTAAGATTTAAATTTGACAGGAGCATCATAATACATCTTAACCAAAGCAGGGAAATCCTAAACATTATGGCACTGGTGATTTACAAAACCCTTTCAGCCATACCATGTCACTTCTTTCCAGTCTGGAAATTACATACGAAGACCTTGTTCACAGTCAGGTGGAATGCACCTGTGGTCAGCTGGTAGAGACTGAAATGTAGACACAAATGGGCAAAACAATAATTGTTGTGGTTTTTATCTTCTTTAGGTCGTGTATCTAACAACATTGGTAAAGTAGGTGGAGGTTGGGGCTTTGGGGTTGGGGATAAGTGTGGTGTGGAAGAAAATATACCAATTTCACAAAGTATTTCCATTTTAGCCATGGGAAAACCCCTGTACCCATAACACAGTGTTAGTGCTACTTGAATCAGATAGCTGGTCTAATGCTAAAGCAACTTTTATGATCTTCTAGTCAAGTTTGAATCAAACCAGTTACGAACTGAAAAAAGAATGTGATACAGTTCTATGTAATTTTTCAAAACTGCTCTTTCAATCTTGCTTTTAGCTAATAGGCCTGAAGAGCAATCAGTCCCCTTTGATCAAGTTCAGGATGTGAATTTTTTTTCAATTAGTCTTCTTTCATCGTGTAATAAACATTTGAGAAAGCATTCTTTTTATATATATATACATAGCCTTTGTACTTTACTGTGTGTTTCTGGTGAGTATTTGTGTGAAAAACACTGTTATCAATATGATATATTAGTTTTTTCATCCCCATATTGCCCTTTCTCACAGAAATAATGTATGGATTCTGTTCCTTCTGTTTCCAAAACTATTTCCAAAATTCATAGCCACACAAGATTGTGTGAAATGGAAGAAAAAAGAATGTCTGAAGCATATCTGCCACATGGAGGCAGTATGCCCTAGCATATAATGGGCAAGGTTTGCATGACTATTGGGGCTATAAATAGTGGGTTAGGTCAAATACATCATTGCTGATACTACAATTTCATTCCATTCTCCATACATTGATGTGCAGTCTGGGCTTTTGCATGTCAAGAAGGTAGTATCTTTCCCACAGAGAAAAAGCAGCTGATACCAAAAAGGAATAAACAAAAAAAAAAAGTTGTTGCCTGGAATCCTGAAAGGCAAATCTGTCCTTCCAGCTATGGCTGAAGAACAAGGTCCTTTGGGGCAGCAGGCTGAGCCACAGAACTGTGCTAAAGGTTTTTGCTGAGGATAAAGCAGCTGCTGTGTTTGACAGTGAAGATAGATTGATGGTGGTAAAAATCCTGTCTTTGCCTATCGTATTTATGAAAATGTTCTATGTATTAGCAAAAATATGAGTAGGAATTACTTCAGCTTTGAAAGTCTGTATTAACATGGACTACTTGACCCCTAAAGGATGCCTTATAATCTCTACAAGAAATTCTTCCAAAGTATAAATGTCTGGATATTAAAATTAATTCAAATGGTTTTCTTGGTGCCATAGCAGTGTCCAGAGGCTCGCTATGCTAGTCTCTGTGCAAAGCTTAGTTGCAACAGGACATGTAGTGGAAAGGGGTTTCTGGTTACAGATTTTGTGTGTCAGAGGAGCAGAGCTACTTTTCTGTAAATGTCAACAAGCCTATAAAATGTCTGCATGGGAGGGACCTACATTTGATGGGACAAGGATGCATATCAGAAAGAGAAAATATCTTTTACTGGTGTGGGAAAGAGAATTTTTCATTCCCTAGCCCCTTCTGTCTTCCTCAGATCCTTTTCACACAATACCATGAGATCCTGTCATTTTATTAGCCTCCCAGTATCCTGAGAAGTACAGTTTTATGCCCCTCTATCACCTGGATTATTTCACCACTGGCTTGAGCCAGATAAGTTCCTCCTCTGCTGTCCTGTCCACAAATGCTTCCCCTTCACATCAAACGCACTGATCAAGAGGAAGCTAGGTTGTATTTATGAAATATGTTGTTTATGTACTTGAAAGTACTTGAAAAGTTTTTTTGCCCTATGTTTGGCGCCTAATTGGTAAAGGCACGTTATCTTTTGGCAGGGTACTTTGGAGAAGAAAAAAAAAAGGGAAGGAAAGCAAATGTAGAGGTCCTAGGTCAAGTTGTTATAGTAAATAAAAGATGGCTAACATCTAAAAAAATCCATATATATACACACATGGAGGGTTACAGTGCTGCACATAGAGTTTCTAGAAGATCAGGGTTTTGTTTAGACATATGTAAATGGTAATTAAGCTTTTAAGTGGGGAAGAAGACGTTTTTTGCCTTAGCTGCAGAGTGAGTACAGCTGCTCTATGTTAATACTACTGCTAGTAGCATTCATGATGCATTGAATCAACCTGAGTCATTTTAACATGTAATTGCCTATTTGATAAGAATTGCATATGGAGATAATCAATCATTATAAAGACCTCTGACCTCACAAAGCCTCTTTATCCTAACATGATCCTCTGCACTCTTACGCTGCTGAGCATCCCTCCCATGCTAACTGACCTGCATAATTCCATCAGGCAAGTTAGCATCTTACCTTTCTGATAATGATTGATTCTAGCTGATTTAAAAAGGAATGATCACACAACAAATGCTTGCATGTTGGTGGTCACATAGAAATGTCTCTCTCCAATCTCTCAGTATGTCCAAAATCATAATCGTAGAACAGCCCAGGTTGGAAGGGACCTCGAAAGATCATCTGGTCCAACCTTTTTTGGGAAAGTGAACCTACATGAGATTATCTAGCACCCTGTCCAATTGCATCTTTAAAACCTCCAGTGACAGGGGCTCTACCATGTCCCTGGGGAGGTTGTTCCAGAATGATTGTTCCTACGGTAAAGATTATCTTAAATAATACTCTGCTTCAGGAGGGAAAAATATAACCACTGGAAGGGCTTTGACTAGGCCAGGCAATAGAAAGTTCTCTAAAAGCTAATCTTCCCAGAGCATTCCCTTTAGAAATGATATTGACTTTCCCTGCAACCATTGCTATGGTACCTCATCATCTCTCAGCGTGATTTTATTATTACTACTGTTACTAACATCCCTACGATAACACAACTGTATCTTGGGTGTGCTGCAAGATGAAAAATTTCAAAACAAATTATTTTGTTTGGGTTTGGTTCAAACAAATTATTTTGTTTGGAGACGTTTGGAAATTGATGCCTTTTCAGGCAGAGCTTACCTTGGACAAGTAGTGACTGCCAGCTGCTCTCCCAACTACGCCTTTTTCAGATAAATACCAAAGTTATACTGATGTTGTTTCAAACTGCACAAGAAATAAAACTACATAAGGGATGTGCAATCTAAATTTCCTTTGCCAGTTTGTTACTAGCCTTTTCAGCTATAGGATGTGAATGTTATTGTTTTCAGCCATGTGTTGGGGATTTTGCGTAACAACTGTTCCGTAACAAACTGGAATTACTTTGAGCCAAAGGAGTGATGTTGTGTAGTGTTCTGTGTATTGTCATTGTTTATTGCTGAGACTATTATTTAATTGAATGCTGTCTGTGGCACAGGGGCTCTGAAGTAAAGGAGCATCAAGGTACAGAACCCTATCTCTACCAGTGTTATTCTTTTCTGTCCTTAATTAATGCATCAAACACTTTTTTCTTCAAATCACATAGACTTGCTTCAGAAGCGATCAGCTTAATCATTATCTCATAGAGCCTTGTACATCCCATAATATACAGAAACATGGGGTAGCATTCTAAAATATTTATTCTATAGCTTGTAACTGGGTAATAACAGAAAGCAGAGGAGGTTGAATCTTTCTTAACTATGGTCTGTGGTGAGTTCTCTCAGGAAAACCTATTGTATCAAGTGCTATTACGCTCTCCAAAATTAGAATTTTCTTTTTAGGTGTGTCGGTATGAAAAGTGAGTATTTTTGCAGAAACCTACCAGTCAGTCTCCTATCTGTCTAACCAGCTATCTTTCTGTACCTTTTTATTGTTCCAAAAATGGTTTGAAGTTAACAGCCAGGTAATAGTTGAATTTATTTCTAGAACTGAATTTTCTGTCAGTTTGTCAGAGTGGTTTGCTAGTGTTCTGCATACATAAAAATGCCTGAATTTATCATCTTGAAAACTAGAAATGGAAAGAATACCATACATCCAAATGACAATCATGTAAGAACTATAGGTACTACATGAAAATGGATAGGGTAAATAGCTTTGTTAGTATTGCTTTGTGAATACTTGTTCAGTAATGAGATTTCCATGAAAATGGATAGGGTGAATAGCTTTGTTAGTATTGCTTTGTGAATTCTTGATCAGTAATGAGATTTCCTTGGTGCTATTTAAAGTAATAATAATGTCACTCCTTCTAATTACTTTTGGCCTTACATTTATTGTTGATATTGGCGTACCTGTTGGAAAGTCTTTAACCCTTTGTATTTTTGGCATGCCTTTTCACGGTGGTTGTGTGTTGGCCTCATCTGGTGTAAAGGGAGAAAGAAACATATTGGAGGAGGATACTGCTGATCCACACCACGATGCACAGCAAAGCTCCTCTTGAAGTAGTTTTGGAGACAGACTGTGCAGCCAAGTGACTTGCATCTGTGAGATTAGTTACCAAGGTTTGTTTTCACATAAGGGCTTTTGCCTTATGGCAAAGCCAAACTGTCTTGTGGCAACAGGAGAAAGGAAAAAAGTATTTCCATCATGTTTGTCATCAATTCATCTTAGAGTGATTTTCTTCAGGCCTGAGATGCTACTGGCATACAGTATGCCATATGCATACTGTATATAGCAAGAAGCGTTAAATTTTCTTGATTAAAAATGGTTGGAACACTATAAAAAGCCACAGGTACTTCACCATACAGTGTAAGCATTGTTGGAAAATACGTTTCTTGCCCTAAAATGCTTTGAGAAAGCTGTTCTGGATTTATTTTCCCTCCTGGAAGCTAAAGTGCTCTTCTGCACGTGTACTGCTGCCAGCTACAAAGCAC